TGTGAAAGTTCAAATATGAGCTTTTTGAACAGTCCAAATTCGTAACTTTAATTGGATTTAAGTGATTTGGGATAATTTGAGCTTGTTTGAGTCTTATTGATAATGGATGAATAAGCCTTGTGTATGGATTGGATTAGTTGAGTTGTTTTAAGTATTTTAGATTGTTTTATTTTAATTTGAGTTAATTAAACCCATATAGTTAAGTATAACTCATTTTGTGCTTAAGTCTTGTCTTAGTGTTATTACAAGAATGAGTCCATAACTATATGGTGGCACAAACAATTAGTGGTGTTGGTTAATAAGATTGGAGTTACAAGGAGTTACATAACAATTACATGCCTATAATTAGCCTAGTTATTGTTAGAGTTACAATTGTAATTACCACATAATTAACCTAGTTATTGTGGGAGTTACAATTGTAGTTATTGTATTGTAACTTATCATTGATTTCTTTGGCTATAAATACTAAAGAAACTCTTATTTATATATATCAAGAGTTGTAATTAAATATTTCAGAATTGACTTGAGAGCGTTTTGACTTTCTTTTCACTTTATGCACAAGGTGTTGATTTGTAATACAATTGTTATCACTTGTATTTTGATTTTGATTTCCTATTTCAATTGTTCTTGGTGCTTGTATGGATTGGGTTCAAGGGATATCACTTATTTTTCTTGGGTTCTCTTTAATTTCTACCATTTAGGTGATTGAATAAATTTGATTCCTTTTTTAGATTTAAATTTTGTTCTAAACCAATTGAAAAGTTCTAAAGTTCTAGTAAGGGTCTTGAGATTCCGCATCAATAATATAACACTATATTAACTTAACTTATAAAATTCAGTCAAATTTACATTTTTTTTTATAGAAAAAGGGTATATGTCTTTAATAGAAAATTGTGTTCCGATAATTATTATGTGTTTTATTTAATTAATAAAAAAAACACATATTTTTATTAAAAATTAATTCATAAGATTTTTACAGAATTAGGCTTTATTATATTATATGTAACATATTATATATATATATATATGTATTAAGTTAGTGGAATTTGGATCCATTTCACCAACCCATCCATCATCACCAAAAGAAAAGTGTGGGGACAAAAATAAGAGGGTTTGCTCCTTTCTCTTGCTTTTCTCGCCGCTGGGACGGAATCAACCAAACAAGAACCTATTATTTTTTGTTTAATTTTTGTCTCACGACATTAGATTAGTTAATCACTTAATTTGCACAATAATAAACAATTTCTTGTTAATTAAATCTTCTTCGAGTTCTTTTGGGAAATCTTCTTCTAATTCCATTATAAGTCGAATTCCAATTCATATATACAAATTTCGGGCTACTCGTAGGCTCTCTGTCTCTGCCTCTGTCTCTCTTCTTTTACCCACAACCAAAGAATCCAAACGATTCCGTCTCTCTCTTTCTCTGCTTATCTCAGTTTGTTTTCTCTCCAGGTATCTTCTTCTCTTTCATTCTTCGTGTTCTTCCTTTTTTAGGGGTTATCTCGGTATTCGAATTTTGGTGATTAGCTTTAATCTTAAATGAGTTTTCTCTTGTTTCGTTGATTTTTGTCTGTTTGCGGGCTGATCTTCTCCATTAGATGTTTCTTTTTTGTTTCTTTCGACGATAATCGGCGTGGGATTTCTTTTGCTTTTTGCATAAGAGTTCTGATTTTCTGTTTCTGCGTAATCATGTTAGATTTTTATCCACTGTTTGAAATAAAAAATTTATGTTTTCAATTTGACTGCACCATCTGTTTGCTCTTTGTTTCTCACATAACAAGCAATTATCCTTGCCTTTTCGAGAGGCAAAAGCTCACAATGATGGCTTTTTGGTTTCCAATTTTGCATCAAACTTTCCTGATTAATGAACTATATGGGTTCAATGTTGAGCCTCAATTGATTGTTCAATAAAGGGTTTCTTTTTGAATGTTGATGTTTTTGTAGGAGCTTGAACATTGTTCATATTGTTAATTAATAAAGTTATGCCAATGGGTATTAGTTTAATTTACTTGATCAAGTGTTGAGGGCGCTTTGTTGGATCTTTTTGGTTTATATTATACATGAATGATTGACTTGTTTCACACTTTTTTTTTTTTTATTTTCAGTGTGGCTTAAATTGTACCAACGACCTGTTCAGCGAATTACAAAGGCGTTGGGAATTCGTAAATAGAAGGGAGAGGGTACTGGTTCGCAGGGGCACTGGAACTTCTGCGAAGCTTGGCATCCTCTCTCATTATCTAGCTTCCATAACATCCTGGAGAGGAAAGTTTGATTGATCATATTGCGGAATCACTCGTCAAGTTTTTATACTAAAGAAAGAGGTCGAAGCTGAATATGGGTGCTGTTTGTTGTTGTTTGCATGATGACAGCTTCGAAGATTATATGAATCCAAATAATCCTGTATATAGAAACTGCTTGTGCCTTAGTTGTTTTGTTCAAAACTTCTTAAATGTGGTAAGTCTTATTGCTTTTATGACTAACCTATATTTGTCACACAACTCGTATTAGTTTAATCAAATTACTTTCCTTTTTAATCTTTTGCGGTGTCCAAAGCTGTTACTGCATGCAGTTGGTTTTCTATTTTTTCTTTCTGTTCTGTGCTTTCAAAGTTCAAGTAGGCGTGGAATTGTCTTTGTTGAGGCTTTTCCTTCACTTTGTCAGTGTGGAGTTGTGTGAGCTATGCTGGCACTTCTTCTTGAAAGTTTGGTCGTGGTTATTATAATGTATCAAAGGTAATACCATAATGCTGAGCAGGAGGTCGTGACGTTTTTAGTCAAAAGTCTTTAATTAGTTATATAAAGGGCTTATTATTTCAATGAAGTGAATAAAGGCTAGTTTGATGGTTACTTTCTGTACTAATTTCAAATTTAGCATCCTATTTCATTTTTGAAATGTATGAGTGTATTTTTAATGAGAATGTAAGAATTTCTGCAACTTATTCACCCAACAAAGCCTTGATACATGCTAGATTGGTCTTATGAACCAATGTGGAGAACAAAAAATTGCTATCTGGTTGTTAGCTTTTTTCAAGGATAATTTTAGTTACCATGTTGTTACAAAAAACTAGATGTTTATATCTTCTTTAACGGAGTTATAATTCTTTTCCCACTACCAACAATTTACAGTATGCCTCCTTATTCCGTAGAGGGGAAGTGCATTCTGTTCCATCTTCCATTCAGGGG